TATATATATATATATAGTGGAGAAATGCTACTGTAAATGTTTTCCCTCTACAGCTCCAAATGTTTTGTGGGGATGTGAAAAAGCACCACATGGTGATTTCTAGACAAATCTAACACAGTTGTACAAAATAATTGTGAAAATATTTGCATCTGGTCTTTCATTTTCGTGCCACCGGGTGTTCTCATTTTTTCCTACGAAAGGGGGGAAAAAAACACTTGATTGTCAAGCAAAATTACGCATGACTGGATTGTCAAAGTATGTGCAGAGTATTAAGATTGATTTGAGAAGAAAACATCTGGAAGGTTTTTCGACACGCATAACAGATCACCTAAAACGTAAAAATAAGGCTGGAGAACTGTGTTTCTGGTTTAAGAAGAAGACTTTTAAATATGCAGACCTCTTAGAATCAATTATTTAGTTTATCGTAGATGAGTTTTCAGTGGATGTTGTGCGGTTTGATGTTATTTGTAGCATCTTTGCTTGGACATTGTGCATGTGTGTTATATGTATAAATGTTAGCGTGAAGCAGTGAGACAATAAACGTTAACACATGGTGATAAATATCTGTGCTTTCTGTGTTTACCCAGAGTGCAGCGGCAGCGCCCAGTCCGGTGATGGGCAACATGCCCCCCAACGACGCCATGCCAGGTGGTCCCATGCCTCCAGGCTTCTTCCAGGTATGACCCACCTCCTTTAAGACTTTACTTTCCTACCTCATCACTGTCTCTCATTCATCCATGTCTCTCTCTTCAAAGACAAACAATTCAAATTCGCTTCACATAATACATAATTTAAACTGATAAATTGGCTCTTTTGCCGTTTGTTGTCTGTCATAGCTCTGACCACAGCTACTTTCTGAATTCAAAGCTTAAAATTTTCATAAACACTTAATTTGTACCTTTTTGTTGGTTTCTATAGAATTTCTTAGCGTTTACCTTGAGATAAAGGTTTTTTATGTGAGGCAACAAGGATGTGTTGTTGAATAATCAGGCTCGAGTAAAGAAYTATTAAAAAATACATCTACTACACATTTTATAAGAAACATTTAGAAAACACAAGTGTATGAAAATCTAAAACAGTCAGAAAATACTAGAAGACTGGTACCTAAAGAAAATATAGAAKGACCAAAGTAAAGTTTGTTCAGGTGACACTGCAGGTACTGTTAGAATCACCTATGATTTTCCTCTGCATGTATTTGAACATTGTTTATTAAACTAGTTAAATCATCTGTCAGCGCATCAGCAGCTCACTCTGTTCCTTCATACATGGCTCATCTCTCTGGGCTGCTGTTTGGCGCATTTGTGATTGAACCATCCTGCGTTCATCTGCTCTTCCACTCGTCCATCTCCATTTCCGCACGTCTCTGACCCGTCCCCGGCTCTGTGAAGGGAAAAAGGTTTTAGTGTCGGGAGACGGCTCTCAGAAGTGTAAGGAGCCTCCCGAACACAAGCGCATGCTAGCTCGTACGCTCACAAACAAAAGAGGGYAAAAAAAAAACGTACCTTCACCTCCTCTGTGAGCCAGTGGCATGATGGACAGCGGTGGCATTTGGCGAGAGGCACGATAAGGTGGTGGCAAAGAGTGGGAGCAAAAAAAAAAAAAAGCAAGTGACACTATGAAAGAGAGAGAGAGAGAGAGGGGTGTATAGAGAGGAAGCGGGGTGAGTGGAGGAAGAAGAAAGCATGTAAATGCAAAAGATTATTGCCATTAGGATTGTTGTGTAGTGTGTGTTTCTGGTGCTGCCTGCCACCACATTGTTTGCTGGTTTAGCAATACAGGGGGGTATTACTGAATGTCTGACTGTGAATAGAAGGAGGAAGGGTTGGGGGGGAGTGAAGGGTGACGAGATGCATTGGAAGTGCTATTTTTAACATTGGTGGGGGAGTGAGACTGAGCAAAGGTTTGTGTGTTTTTGTGTGGCTGTTATGTTTAGGGACTCTTGTAACAGAAAGCTTCACTGTAAAAAGAAAAATGGTTCATGCTCGTGTGGTCTCGTTGGTCGTTTTGTCAATGTCATCCTTGACTCCGAAACAGTGCTTAGACAGAGGGAACATATTACATAAATGTTCATTTAAAAGTTGAATACCGTAGGAATACAAGCAGCTGAGAAAAACAGTCTTTCCTCTTTCAGTTGTAGGGTTTTACGTATGACAAAAACATGATCAAGTGTACAAAAATACATAACAGATTCCACCTTATTCCACATTATTAAATGAATAGAAACCAAGCCCYGGTGTAAAATATGTGGGAGAATCCAAGTTCATCCATGCTGCTTTCATAAGATTTATGGGAAACTGTTAACAACCAGGTGCTGCTGATCAAATGTACTTGATTACCAGATCATCATCATCATCATCATCAGTGTGACCTCCTTTATGAATGCAGGGGTTTTAGTATTGTGTGTTCAGAGCCTACAGCTGTGTGTTTTACACAAGGCCAAGGTGGAAAGACAACAGCACTGACCCTAATGAAGCAGTTGTTGCTACCATCATTTTAGTAATTTCCAAACTAATTGAAGATCACAGAGAAAAAAAAAAACTGTTCACACGTGGAAAATATTTAGGGTAGTTGCCAATCCTCCCAGGACTGAATGCACTGAACAAATTCACCCTAAGGTCAGACCGTGCAATGATCAAAGAACTGGCAAAAAATCCAAAGCGCTCCATGTCAGACTCGCCTATCAGGTTAAAGGTTAACCTTCAGATGGTCTTATCGGTTAAAATCAGCCACGCATTTATATTTTTTATTTATGTATCATTTTTGATGTGGTCAATAAACACAATTGTTTCAGACAAAGCCTAAAACTGAACGGTTTAAAATGCTCCCATGATCCTTAGGGGGAAAATGACCACACTGAAACCTTCATAAATAGTTTATGTTTACTTATTTATCATTTCCTAAAATATTCCTTTCAGCCAGTATTTGACCTCTATCGCTATACTTTTGATTGCTAAATTAGCTCGCTCACTAATGCTTTGCTTTTCACATTGGTAAGCCGCAGTAAAAATTAGCGGGACAGTTTTCAACATACCGCGGGAGCAGCGCCTCTTTTACAGCTGGATGTTGCTATGGTGTTCTGTCTCTCATCTCCTCCAATAAAATTTTATATGTTTGGATGTAAAGAGCAAAAACACATGTGCATTGTGCACAAGCAAACGTTTAGTGTGTCCACAAGCATGCAGGCTGCAGAATCGACTGCTTATTAATTTAATATTTTTTCAAAAAGGCTCATAAAATAAATATTTTGTTGATTTAAAACAAAAACTGAAATATGGACTTCTTTTTTTACTAAAGGCCTGTAAGAGGAATGTTTTTTCCCTTAAACAACATGAATGGTCGTAAAGGTAAAGGACCATCTGAGGGTCAAAGTTCACACCAGGTCAATTAGACCAAATTAAAAGAGAAAGCCTATTTTCTTTACAGTAAAAATGGCAGCTTGAATAATGTAAAAGTTGTATCTGAATGAAACACAAAATTTCTGGAACAATGTCTTTTATTCAGATGTTTACCTATAATGCACAAAACCCAGCACAAACACCTCGTACCAACTGTAGAGCATGGAGGTTGTCCGGTATTTTTAGGAGGGCTGATGATTCAGGAGGTTTTGCACCTTGCAGCCATTGAGTCCAACATGCCGTAAGGTCCATATATATTTGGACACTGACACAAATTTAGTCTTTTTACCTGTTCACTGAAACATTTTCAAATTAAAGTTATATAATGTACATGGACATAAAGTCCAGACATTCAGCTTTCATTTGAGGGTATCCACATTAAAAATGGATGAAGGGTTTAGGAGTTTTAGTTCTTTAACATGTGCCACCCTGTTTTTAAAGGGACCAAAAGTAATTGGACGATTGACTCCAAGGCTATTTCATGGACAGGTGTGGGTAATCCCTTTATGTCATTCTCGATTCAGCAGATAAAAGTCCTGGAGTTGATTTGAGGTGTGGTGCTTGCATTTGGTAGGTTTTGCTGTGACGTAAACATGCGGTCAAAGGAGCTCTCCATGCAGGTGAAACAAGCCATCCTTAAGCTGCAAAAARGGAAAAGAAACATCCGAGAAATTGGTACAATATTAGGAGTGACAAAATCTACAGTTTGGTACATCCTGAGAAAGAAAGAAAGCACTGGTGAACTCATCAATGCAAAAAGACCTGGGCGCCCACAGAAGGCAGCAGTGGTGGATGATCACAGAATAATCTCCATGGTGAAGAGAAACCCCTTCACAACAGCCAAACAAGTGAACAACACTCTCCAGGAGGTAGAAGTATCAATATCCAAATCTACCATAAAGAGAAGACTGCATGAAAGTAAAAGCGGAGGGTTCACTGCACGCTGCAAGACACTCATAAGCCTCAAGAATAAAAAGGCTAGACTGGACTTCGCTAAAAAAAAGAAAACATGTAAAAAAGCAGCAGAGTTCTGGACGAACATTCTTTGGCCAGATGAAACCAAGATCATCCTCTACCAGAATGATGGAAAGAGAAAAGTATGGTGAAAGCGTGGTCCAGCTCATGATCCAAGGCACCACATCATATGTAAAACACAGCAGAGCAGTGTGATGGCTTGAGCATGCATGGCTGCCAGTGGCACTGGGTCACTGGTGATTATTGATGAGGTGACTCAGGACAGAAGCAGCTGAATGAATTCTGAGGTATTCAGATCCAGACTGTGTGCTCAGATCCAGACAAATGCAGCCAAACTGATTGGTTGTCATTTCATACTACAGATGGACAATGACCCAAAACATAAAGCCAAAGCAACCCAGGAGTTTATTAAAGCAAAGAAGTGGAATATTCTTGAATGGCCAAGTCAGTCACCTGATCTCAACCCAATTGAGCATTTCACTTGTTAAAGTCTAAACTTCAGACAGAAAGGCCCACAAACAAACAGCAACGGAAAACTGCCACAGTGAAGGCCTGGCGGAGCATTAAAAAGGAGGAAACACAGCGTCTGGTGATGTCCATGAGTTCAAGACTTCAGGCAGTCATTGACAACAAAGGGTTTTCAACCAAGTACCAGAAATGAACATTTTATTTACAATTATTTAATCTGTCCAATTACTTTTGAGCCAGTGAAATGAAGGGATTGTGTTTAAAAGATACTTTAGTCCCTCACATTTTTATGATCAATCATTTTGTTCAACCCACTGAATTAAAGCCAAAAGTCTGAACTTCAACTGCATCTGAATTGTTTTGTTTAAAATTCATTGTGGTAATGTCTAGAATCAAAATTAGAAAAATGTTGTCTCTGTCCAAATATATATGGATCTAACTGTATAATTTGTGCACCAAAAGGCTCCAGAGCAAAATGTGAAGCCATCTGACAGCTGAAACTTGAACCAAACTGGGACAATATCTCAAATACAGCAGCTGGTCAACAACAAAATGCCTGAAAAATAACTAAAAATCAAGGTGTTGCAACAATTCTGTCAAATTCCAGACCTCAGCCTGATGTAAAAGCTGTGGTGGGGCTTTAAGTGAGCTGAGCAGAAACCGGTGTCTGCATACATGAATGAACTGAAGCAGTGCTCTAAAGAAGAGTGGGCTAAACCCCAGAGGTCAGAGAGAAAGTGATGACAGAGTTATTACTGCTTAAAGTGGTTCTACAAAGTTTTCTCACACACAGTATTGTCATTTTTTCTTTTTGGGGTTTAGTAAATAATGACACAGGAATCTGTTGTGTGTTTTTGTAACTTGGTTAGATTTCATTAAGATTAGTGTTTGTTAGAGACTGCAGCACATGACTAATTGAATCCTTGATTAACGTCTTGCTTTGAATAATCAAATTTAAATGGAAAAACAAATAATAACCTATTTTCTATTGTTCTATTCCTCTTTCCTATACACTTGGTATATTTATCTTAAATTCTATTTAGTGCAAACCTCTTCTGTAATCATTGCCGATATGAAGGAAAGTACAGACAAGGACACTATAATAAAGAATTTAACAAACTGTTTGTATCAAAGAAACTGAATTCTTTTCAGTCTATATAAAGCGATAGAAAAATGCAGTATATAAAAGCTTTGCTTTATTTTCTAACCTATTTAAGAAATCGATGTAAGCGAAGTATAGGGAATGATAAAAAGTACAACTTGAGGTAGTTTTAAAAATCTTTTCATAGTTTTAAGAGCTTCTGCACTTGTAGCTTTAATACATGTTGGTAATGTAGTTTGCAAGAAATGAACTTCTTTATTTTTATTATACGGTCGTCTCGTCAGRCTTTTCAGCTCTGTAATGTAGGCGTGTGCTTCAAAGTTTTGTTCATCCTCCACAGAACGGGGAGAAGCGTGTCGTCCTCTGCAGTTCATCAGTAGACTTTTAAAAGGCGTGTCATTGGCTGGCCTCAGCGTGTGCTTCCTCTCAGAAGGTAGACCCACTGATGAGTTTTGGAATTAGTTGCCAACTATTGTTGCAGTTTGAACAAATTGCCACAGATATGAGGTCAGGGTAAAACAACATGCTTTGTGAGTGTTTTGTCAGTGATACCCGCTATAATAATTCTTAGTTTTTTAAAAAGCTAAAAATAGGACTAATAATGACATGAAAGTGACAGTAAATATTTATTTATTTGTACATTTTGTCATCTTCTTGGTGTCTTATTAAGCTGTGTTTTTAGCAGTGCCGCGCCAACGCATTTGAATTGGTTATCTGTCTCGACTRGTCCGCCGATCAGCCACGATATTTACGTTTCCTGACAAGTGGACTGAATAAACTTGAACATCTCATTACAATATAATGTCCTGCTGGTAACCTTTGGTTCTGGCGCGCACCCAACTGATTTGCTGCCAAACATTCGTGTGTCAGACCAGACACCCCCCACAAAACGTCCTGCAACCAAGTCCCAAAAACCAGTTCTGTTGTCCTGAGCTGGAGGGAAACCTGGACAGAATTCAGATGTATTACCTGTGTTATTATATAGTTACAGATGAAGTGAATCCAAATAAAGCAAATATTAAGAAAAAAAGCCAGTTTTTGATAAATGACACTGACTAAGCTAAACAATGTGGTGCAATAATTGGAATTGGCTTGTGGAAGAAGTGATTCTAATGATTAATCAATTATCTAAAGTAGCTGCTTTATTTTCTGTCGGTCAGCTCATCGGTTAATTGACTAACCTCGGCTCATCTCTTGTGCTCACACATTACTGCGTTACTGAACCAGTGCCCTTATTTACAGAGCAGTTGCTGCTGTTTTGAGTTTAAGATCTACATCTTTCGACTACGGATTTCCTTTCAAGCCGAGCTGTCGCTATAGTTTATTAAATCTCAACCTATTGCTCTCACTGATGCTGTTTGAGTCAAAGTGTTTTTGTCCTGTGTTTGGATGCCCGGGAGGGAAAGGCGGAAAGTTCCGTCAGCTGTTTGTTAATCGGCCACTCTGTTCTCTTGGATGAACTGGGAAAAGTGAAACACTGAAGGTTCTGTAGTGGCTGTTGTGTACRGACTTATTTGTTTATTAGAGGTTCCTAACAGGTCGTCTTGGAAGAAAAGGCAGCAGAAGTTGGAGAATTTTCTCACCCAAACTTGGTTTTGCGACGAAACAAGTTTCTAATCAGCAGGAAAGCTTTTAACTTTGAGTTGTTTTTGTCCTGGTTTAAAGTTGCCACCGGTTCTGTCCTGTTGCAGATAGTCTTTGATAATACTGCCCTCAAGTGGTCCAGACTAAAACTGGATCTTATGACCAGATGGTCCCAGTTATGTTGTAGCTACGTTGTTTTATAGCCGTCTGCAAGTAAGGTTATGCTATATATCATCTTTATCAATTTGTTTGGACTCGCAGGGACAATAAATTACATTTTGGGCTGTTATTTTATGCTTTTTATTACTTAATTTTATATTTTGCCCAAATTGTCCAGTTTCTTCCACTTTCTGC